TACTATAAATGGGCTGATGCTGCGATTGACTGCTTATTTACTTTTAAAAGTTTGTTGTTAAGCTTTATTTAAGAGGATTTATTAAATGAATGTCATTGGTGTTGGGACTGTAAGCGTTAAACGGATGTTCAGTGTTGAGCTGAGTTGATGCGGCTGCTGGTCAAACCCCATCACACTTAGGCCAATAAGCCCATTGTGATGTGGGATGTTAAAGTTTAAGAAAATCTAATGGCCACATGGCAGTTCCGACCGTAGCAATTAATGAAATTCTTGTAATATTAAAGAAAGCTTTAGAATTACTGTTAAATACGTTAAAAACAAGTTGGTTACGTGATTCTTATTAATAAATGAGCGGGAATTTTTAAAAATTACAGAATTTTCATTTTATTTAAATGTCAACTGGGTTTATGGATATGTACATACATATGAACATAAGTAATGTACTGTTGTACCAGTAAAAATTATGCGCTGGTTACAAATGAAGTCACTGTTTTTCAACACTAATTACCTTGCGCACAGAAGAACGGCATGTTCCCGAATTAAGTTCATAACAGTTATCATAAAAACTGTTGAGTGATGTTTGCTGAGAAGTCAACTCTGTTCATCCAACCATCGTCCGTCCGTCCATCCATTGGCATCTCATTAAAAGCGAATTTCTGTCATAATCCACTTGCTGGTATTCAAAATGTGCATGCCTTGCACTAGTCAAGAATTGACACACTTTCCGCTGAGGTGACGACGTTCGCACTTCGTGTGCACTTTTTTTCTCTCTCAATTCTTTTTCGAATTTTGCCTTTACTCAATTCATATTAGCGGAAGAATTTGCTTTTATTTGTGGGTGCATTTAATTTTCCCTTTTATTATGATCTCTTTGTAACTGCATTTTGCTATCAAGATGGCTTACTGATCCAGTTAAGAATTTGTATGGTGTAAATTATTTTTAAAAGAATAAAATGAAACTAACAGAATTCTCGTTTTCAGTAAAGCTTTCTTCGTGCGTGTGCGTGGTCATTAAAAGTTTAGTGCCGCCAACTTCACCAGCATGTGGCCCAAATTGAAGTGTAAAATTACAAATTGAAATAAAATTAAAAGTCTTTAAAAATCGCTTTTATGAGTAACCCCTTTCTTTAGCCAGAAGCAAGGTACGCAGGTATTTGTCAGAATATGCCATTTTCAATATATCGTCTTAATTTTCGCGAAATAATTGGGTTTAAATTTAAATTAAATTGGAGCAAGAATTTGTCTCTCATATACAGTGATTTGTAAATCAATTCCTTTGGCAACTTTAATAAGATTTTTCTACCTTATAACAGATGCAAATCTTTAATAAAGTTATATATACATGTACAAAGAACTTATAATAATAAATTTTAATGGTAATTATTATAAGCTTTTTACATGTACATATAAAATATAATAACAATCTTAACTTCTCTGTTTCACCTTCATTCATATGCCTAAAAGTATGCAACGAATTTGTGATAAGGTCATTTCGTCTAAGTAAGAGTGGTTTGTGCGCTAATTAAAGCTTATTTGAAGCTCATGTTAAGAATGTGTCTTTCTCTCTTCCAAGAATATGCCTACAAAATATAAATATAAATATAAATATAAATATAAATATAAATATAAAATATAAATATAAATACAAATATAAATATAAATATAAATATAAATATAAATATAAATATAAATATAAATATAAATATAAATATAAATATAAATATAAATATAAATATAAATATAAAAAAAGGACAAAGATTATGAATAAAAATAAAAATAATTTATTTTTCTGGTCAACTTACCGAATTTCGGTTAATCCCCTGCATACTTGCAAGAATGGGGAACACAGTTGTTGGTTAGATTATTTTACCTTTCTTGTTTCCACACGGTCTTTTCTCTCGAAAGTTTCCCATTTCAAGCTAAGCAATTAAAATTTATTTTCCAATTGGGATTTGCGCTTTTTGTCTTATTGGCAAATGCATTTTGTAGTCAGCTATCAGTGGAATAGCTCGACAGTTGGAAATTGGCTAAAATAAAGTATTGTATTTGGTGACATTGTAGAAGGCAAGTTGACTATTTCCACACTAAAGTGGAGCGATAAAGTAAGACATGTTCAGTAGTATGATTGTAAAAAATATGTATGTATTATCTATTTATTCATATACAAGTGCAGTAGAATGGCTACATGATTATTTCGTCGTGTGTTTTTGTGAATACTGTGCCCGACGGATTGTTAGCCATGGTTGAGTTGGTTGGCTACATCTTCTGAAATTTGTACCTCAAACACTATATCAGAATTCGTCTGTGTTTAAATCTATGTTGGCCTACTTTTTTGGCTTATCATACTTTATAAATTTTATGACTTTTGTCGAGCTTAAGGCGATCTTCTTTTCTGCTTAGTTTTCTTCGAAATCCAGGTGGGAAATTTTATAAAGTTTGGTTACAACTCTTTAATGCGCTGTAACAATTCCTCTCGCGGCTGGTTCAATAAAATTTAATTTTTTGATTTTTAGTGACAGTCAGGCAGCAATAAAAGCTATATTTTTTGGTCATTATAAAGTATAAAATCGCATGAAACTGTCGCATATCTGTTATAGCGATATCTAACGATCACATACTCTCTCTCTTTCGGCTTTCTTTTAATAAGGATATATAGTGCTAATTGGTTCGTCTGATGCCTAATGCCTCAACCAGCTCCCGCCGAAGAATTTATTATATATATTAAATTCTCAATTATTATATATAGATAGTAAAATGGGGTTCAGTATTTTTCCATTAAATTGAAGGCTTCATTTACCATACTTAGAATTATTCAATTTGAGTCAATTGTGCAACATTTTTCTCGATAAATTTTGCATCCGATTTTCACATGCTGCTCTTGAGGTCAATTCTCCATTAGGCAAACCAGTCCCCATAGACAGGAATAGATGGTGATCACTTGCTGCGAGAAGCTCCAAAGCTCTCTGAATCTTTGGTGAGGCGTTATCCATATGTGGGCGCTTCTGGGCGATTGCAGACAGTTTAGTTCTGAATTAAGAGTTTGTCCATAGAGGTCTGCTCTTGGTGGATAATCTCTTGCCACTGTCTTCGCCCCCAACCGTTTTCGTTTGACGTTGTTGTAAGTGGTCCACTTTTAATCATTAGACACCATCCGCATCAAAGGTTGGTCGATTTTGTTATGTTTCAAGAGCGATACGCATATGGATATTCGGTCCATGAGGTTTCTTCTTGTTAACTCATGTGGCTCATAGAGCTTTTTGGTGTATTTTGACTTTTTCAACTGTTTTTGGTGCAATCTTTAGCTAATTGGCAATCGACACAGTGCTTGCAACACGATGGGTCTCGACGATTTCCATTACTTGATCGACAATTAGCTTTCTACACCGCGGAGCAACTTTTTATCAAAATTACCGGCACAAAAACGACGAAATCGAAATTGCGCAAAATTGACTGTTTTAGTATCAGGACCATAAACACTATTCACATTTTCAACTGTCTGACATGCGCTCCAACACTCCCAAGTTTAGCGATCGACACTTCTTCCATCATCTTTTTAGTACGAGATAATTTCTTTCTAAGATCATCTAGCGTTGTTCAGATAAATTCATCTACTGGAGAAAAAAATGAATTATTGATTTTTATTGAACCTTCCATTTTGTGACTGTTATGCACTGTACGGGATGGTCTTTGGTGAAAGAATAAATAAGCGCCCACAACAGAAGTGTCTTCTACCTAGGGATCAATAATCCAGAACAGGGTCGCAAGCAAATTAGAATGTCATCGTTTATATTATTGTTTGACAATCAACTTTCAGTAGAGTTGAGTTGAGTTGCTGCGGCTGCTGTTCATCACCAATAATTCTATAGTTGTAAAGGCTGGACGGTGACAGAGGTAGTGTTTAATAAACTTCTACTCTTCTTTGTCCCCACAGTTGCAGCGAAAATCATTAGAGTTATATCCAATTATTTTTCCGTGAAGCTCGGTGAGATTCGGTCTTAAAAGATAGGATGTTTTGATACTTTCACCTCCATCTTAGGCCGTGGATGTCTGGTCGAATTGCACGTGATCTCATTAAGCCATATAGAGTCTGCTTCTTTGGCAAAGGCCAGTTTAAGTACATATATGTTGCATTTAGTGCAGAGTTATTTCAGATTGCTCCTACATTTTATGACCCCCATTGATGTAGTACTGTAACATTATAGAGATATGATGACAGCTTGACTGTCGGAATATATAGTAACTGATTATCTTCTGCTTGAAAGACGCTGCAGTGTTCTGGCAGTCTCATGTTTTATTAATTATATTGAGCTTTGGAACTTCTGTAAGGAAAGTTATGGCTCTCTCTTCAAAGGGCGTTGGTGTTTTCCCACTCGTTTCTGTTTGGGATTCTCGTGTTGAAAAGATTGTCTGGAGGTGGCGTAGTCCAGCTCCTTCGCTATTTTTGTAAAAGCTAGTATTTTAGCATTTCCTTTACTGCAAATCTTCCCAGGTTGAGTTGAATTCGATCTTATTCTGTTGCAGCTCGCTTGTCATTTCCCGTATAGGTCCAGAGGAAAGAAGTTGAGAGCGCTTTTGAGGGAGTTGTTGGTAGTGCTACCGTTATCGGGATAGCAGCTGATCGTTGAATTGTCTCTAATTTACTCCTGAAGGTAATTTTGTCGAGTACCGGCCACAAACAATGACGCCATAGAATAAGATTGGTCTATCTACTAATGTGTAAATTCAGTACACCATATTCGGTGTTAGACCCCATATTTTTCCTAACGCCGTTTTGCAAGCAGTTCTGCGGTATTCAGGCTCAAGTTGAGTTTGCTATCTAGAATTATCCGGGTGTTACTTAAAGTGTCTAAACTTTATAAAAAGCTGTGAAATGTTACCTACAAAAAATGAAATAAAAACCACCTTATGTAAATATGTACATATATTTAAAGTTATCGAAAAACCAGAATAATTTTCACTCATACTCGTATCTATGCAGCAGTCAAAAAATTCCTAAATTTCTTCACACCAAGAAAATTTGCTTTTGTTTTGACGTAGCCATGCAGTTTCTCAAAAAATTACCAGTGAATTTATTAAAACGTGCGAATTTTCGACACCAAACCACTATTGAGGTCCAAGGACATGATTACTTAAAAGACGATCTTCCACCCAAGTTTGTTAAAGTTTTGCCTCCTTCCAAATATGGTGGCGAATATTTGGTAACGCTGTTAACCGGTTCCTCAAACATTGGCAAGCAAGGCGCCAATTTCATCAAACATCTATTTGAAGTAGCAAAAGTTCCGGTGGCATTCGAAAGAATTCAACTCGGACCAGACGAAACCGCCTGTCCCATGGAGTATTTGCAATCAGTGCAACGCAATCGTCACGCCATTCATGTCGATCTACAACACGATCCGGACGAGAAGCGAAAACAGCTATTGCTAAACAATGACCTGGATCTGTATATGGGCATTATAAATGTGAACTCAATTGAGGGTTATAAATGCAGATACCCTGATGTGGACATAACGGTTTTAATGAAAAACAATGCTGGTAATTTCTCAAAATTGGAATACGCCCCGGTGCCGGGTATAGTGGAGACATTGAGGATAATGGATAGAAAATACATTGAACGCTATTTTAATTTCGTATTCCACTATGCGATGGAAAATAATCATAAAAAGATCACATTCGGTCATCAAGAGTTGGAGTTTCCTCTCTCGGATGGCCTATATAATAAGATTGGTTGTGGTATGTATGAGGACTTAAAGCCAGATTTGGAATTCGAGCTAATGCCGATCCATGAGTTGGTGCGGAAAATTGTGTTGGCGCCAAACCAATTCGATGTAATCTGTACGACCGATCGTTATGGAACAATAGTCGCATCCATCGCCAGTGCCGTTTGTGGCGGCGCCAGTTTGTTTAGTTCGACTGAGCGTGGTGATCATCATGCTGTCTTTAAGCCGCTTCAGACACGCCTCTCAGTAACTGATTCCGGAACACTTAGTCCGTATGGCATTGTGCGGGCTTGTATTGATTTGCTACACTATTTGGGGGAAACCGACTGTGCGAGAGTATTGTATGAGGAGCTGATGACCACTATGATTTGTCGCAACATAAAGACAAGAGAGTTCGGCGGCAGCGATTCGGGTGAATTTGTTATTTGTGATATTGTCAACAGATTGAAATGTAAAACCTATTGACTAAATGTAACATTGAAATTTCGGGATTACTGAAATTCGAAATTCCTTTAAGTCGAAAATAAATTTTGAGGCCATTTACACGACTACGTACTTTACTGGCGCTGGCACCGTTTACGCGATTTTAGCCGAATCAAGGTAAGCACGCCATTCATTTCTTTTTCGCTGTACGATGCCAATTGGAAATACTAAGTGAAATCGGGTCGCACTCCGTCTGATCCTTCCAACGGAGTGGCGGTCTGCCTTTTCCTCTGCTTTAACCAATGGGGTCTGCATCGAATACTTTCAAAGTTAAAGTATTCCTCCATCCTGACCACATGGTCTAGCCAGCAGAGCCGCTGTCTCTTTATTCGCTGATCTATGTCAGTATCATCCTGTAACTACCACAGCTCATCGATCTAAATTCTGAGGTATTCGCCGCTAGGGCCATAAATCGTTCGAAAACTCTTAAACTCTTTTCTCGAAGACTCCCAAAGCCGATTCATCAGTGGTTGACATCGTCCACGCCTCTGCGCCATATAGTAGGACGGATATGATGTACGACTTGTAGAGTTTGATTTTCGTTCGCCGAGAGAGGACTTTACTTTTCAATTGCCTAGTCAGTCCAAAGTAGCGCTTGCTGGCAAGATAGATTCTGCGATAAATTTCAAGGCTGACATATTTGTTGGCGTTAATACTGGTTCCATTACAGACGAAATTATCTACGTCCTCGAAGTTATGACTATCCACAGTGACGAGTCGCGAATGCCATGACTGTTGGTTTGATGACAGGAGATATTTCATCTTGCCCTCATTCACTACCAGACCCATATCCTTCGCTTTTTTCTCCAGTTTGGAGAAAGCAGACCTCACGGCGAGACTCTTAAGGCCAATAATGTCAATATCATCGGCATTCAGCAGCAGCTCTACACTCTTAAAGAAGATTGTACCTTCTCTAAGGTAAGATCCAATCAGTCTGCTGACGGTGGGCTTTAGTTTTTCACACAAAACGTTAGACAGAACCTTGTATGCGTTATTAAGGAGGCTTATCCCACAGTAATTGGCGCAGACTGCGCATCACCCTTTTTGTGGATTGCGCAGAGCACTCTTCGGTTCCAATCCTAGGGAATGCTTTCATTGGACCATTTGCATTTGCAAAGAAGCTGATGCATGCGCCTTGTAAGCTCTTCACTGCCATGTTTGAATAGCTAAGCCCCAACCGTTTTGTTGGTTTTTTAAACGGGCAATCGCTATTCGAACTTCGACATGGTCACGTAGCGGAACGTCTGTTCCGTCATCATCGATTGGGAGTTCGGACTCACCATCTTCAGGTATTTCATTTTCACTACCTTTCAGCAGGAAGGAGAAGTGTTTCCTTCATAAGTTCTGTGGATCCTAATAATTTTTTTGTTTTTGTTAGAATCGGTTCTTGGATAACTATCATCGGTTGCTCTGAAATTTTGATTAGAACTGGTGAATGGTAAGAGGATAAGTCAACAACAGTCCTAACTGACACAAGATAGATTTTTCTTGAAGCAGCGAAGTTGTTTTGATATTATTAGTCGAGATTCCAGTAAAGTTGCTTTGCATCATAATCTCCTCCGGCTATAAATCTAGGCTATAAAAAAATTCCGGAAATTGATCCTCTGGGATTTAAAATCTGGAGGTCAAACAATTTTGGAGATTATTTAAGTTCTTTTCACAATTATTCAGAACAACAAAGGTGGCCTTTTAGATAATTGGTGGCATTTGGCTGTAAATCGCAGTGTCAAAGGCGGTTTATTTTCAAATTTTTCTAAGGCAAAGTGCGAAAGTCTAATGCTGTTGGTAATCTATGGTAAAAAAATTAAAGCTTATAAATAAATTTTATTTTCGAAACCCTTAGTTTAATCGCTGCGGTGAATATTGTTTATTAGTTTTTTTTTAATTTCAGAATATAGATTTCTGATTTTTTTTTGATATACAAATTCTTTGTAGAACCAAATTTCATTTCTTCATGTATTAGAAAATTACTAACAATTTTATATTCAAACACGATGAGCATTCGGTAGCCGCGTTATTTTTCAATAGAACTAAGCACCTGCTAAGCACTCAGCGCACGGTTTCTATGACTCAGTCACATACCACATCGCGATGTTTCTCACAATTGGGATCGTAGACGCCAAATCTGAATATGCATACGTGTTGGTATGTTTCGCCGGGTGTCAATATGACGGAAGGAAAATTTTCCTGAAAACAGTTTAAGAACACATCACATCACATCTACTTATTCCAATTTAAATCATATATTTTTGCTCACATGATTCACTGCGTCCGGATACCAATGTGTTTCCATGCAGAACGAGCCATGCTTCTCATACAAACTGTGTCCTTTGCCAATGATCATGGGTTGGTTGGATTTCTTTTTTTTACCCTTTTTCTTCTTTAGTATTTGTCATTTCAAATTATGATAATGTGTGTGATGAATGTAGCAATGGGAGAATGGATTGGTGATTTGGTGAGTTGTGGTGAATGTGAATGATGAGGGTGAGTTAATAATATTACAATAATACTAACCTCCAAATCGGGCATGTTGTGTGCGGTATAGAAGTGCATACAAGGTTGATTACTGGAGATCTCCATGCAGCGACCACTGGGTGGGTGAAAAGCCCTAAAAAAAGATATAATCATGCGTTACATGCCAAATCTATTGTCAAATCATAACGACTAAGGGCCGTTTTTTCGAGTGCCTGTTAAAGTTTAACCTCTCTTTAAACTCGTTTTCGATTTTTAACTGCCTGTTTTTGAATGCGGCAGTTAAATTTAGCAGACGATCAATGCGCCAATTAACATTTTTTTTTCGACGGCAACATCTTTTCTATTTAAAAATAGAAAACAGCTGATTTACAAATTTACTTATTTGAGGTTATATGAGGTTAGGGAAAGATTTGAAGAACCCTCCGTGCGCTAAGCGAAATTCTTTTTTTTTACTCTACTTACGTTTAGAACAGCTGATTTACCTAGTTCCATTCCTGCTCTTAGCAGCACTGCCACCTTTTATCTAATAATAAATAAATATTTAACAGGAGGTCGAGAAAATGAAAACGAATTTTTCATATCGTTAAATTTAACTGCCTGTTTCGTGTTCCTTACATTACCAGGCACTCGAAAAAATGGCCCTAAGTGTTTCATCTTAAATTGTCCAGATACTGTAAACTAAAATTCAGGAGTCAGCGTAATAGCTTTTCTTCGAGAAATTGAATAGATGACGCGTTATGTAAGAATTCTACAAAGACCATTCTCCTATGACTATCTAAAGTAAGACTGATGCAGATGTCAGTGAGCAAGTGATTAATTTTTAATTTATCAACGATCGAAATCCTTCTAGAACGTCTCTAAGACTGAGACATTGTTCGTAACGGATTTATGGAAATCGTAACAAAAGATTTAGTAAAAAAGCGGGGATTCAAACTGAATGGCCGAACTTAGCGAACGGTAATGGCAATGCTTTCAGGGGTTACATAGGTCTTGAAGCTTCAAAAAATTCATTTTTTTGGTCATTTTTGTACAAAAGTATACAGTGTCGGGCATATTTTCCTCAAGTTTCAAGTCGATCGAGACGAAACTGTAGAAATTAGAGAGTTTTGTAACTCGCCGTGTTTGTCAGGGCTTGACCGATGATAAAACTTTAAGCGCGTTTTTCTTGAAACCATTTTATCGAAATCGGTTGTCAAAATTTCTGAACGACTATCGAAGCGATCGAGTTCAAATTGTTCACACATCTTTCAAGCATGTTTTTGTAGTCCCTGAACAAGGGATTTATTTGATCTTTGATTTCAACTCATTTTACAAACCAATATGTGGCCTAATTTTATGCAAAAAATTACGTTTTTTTTTTTGTAAAAAACGCTTCAATTTCGATTTCAATTAAAAATTGAAAAAGTTATCATGACTACCGCCAAAGCATTTTCTTGTGGATGGTCTACTTCACCACACTGCCGACGCCTTAACTTATACCATTTTTTATTAAAATTTTCATCAAATGTTGTCCACATATTGTACTTTTATATGTAAACAATATAAATCGTCTACTTTATCTTGTATCTTTTAAAAAAATTAGAGGAAATAAGCTTTTTTTTGGCCTTTAAGACCAATGTAACCCCTTAAGCGATCGCAATACTATGGAAACCTTCCATTAGCATATTCCTGTAAAGATCTCAATCGATGAATCCTTTAAATCAACTCACTTTTGACAGATCCGATTGAAATTTATGAGAAACGCCTTTGGCTCTACAACAATAGTCACTTACTTTGCTTGCTTTTCTATGCAACCGGGCGTGTACTTTAGCACATAATTGTGGTCGTAGCCTTTGGCAATTTTGGATATATTCCTCAAGCCAGTGCCAACATTTGTTAGCTTTCGCAAGTCCAAAGGATGATTATCCAATTTAATAAATTCACCATTCGGCACTGTGTCTTCATCCATATCGGTGATGCAGTCGGCTTTGATTTTAACAATATGCTCTGTCATGCCCTGCTTACCGGCATTCTAAAACGAAAATCATTTATGTATACGTGTATGTAAGACAAGTGAATAAATACGGTCAATTGGTTATGAGCTTACATGTCCGGCCAAATTGAAGTATGCATGATTGGTCATATTAACCGGTGTTGGTTTGGTGGTGTTCGCTTCCAAGCAAAAACGCATACAATTGTCTTCAGTGATGGTGTAGGTAGCTATGGCCACTACTTCACCGGGAAAGCCCTCATGGCCATCTGGTGAAATAAACTTGAAAGACACACCATCAGGTCGTATTTGGTCCACCTCCCAGATGACCTTGCTGAAGCCATGCGTGCCACCATGCAACATATGCTTTCCCAAGAAATTTTTGGTAACCTCATACTTTTTGCCATCAAGCGTAAAATTGCCATTGCCTACACGACTGCAAACACGTCCCACTGTGCACCCGATATACGGATTATTCTCGGTCAAATAGCCTGCGGAGTAAACATGGAAAACCAGTTGACGAAGCTTCTTTCATCTTAAGCACACCGAAACTCACCTTCGATATTATCGAAACCCAAGGTAATGTCATCCACCACACCGTGTGAGTCGGGCACTTTCAGTGATGTTATTGTGGCGCCAAAGTTTATCACCTATGTAAATGTGGTATAATGCTTCATATAATATACTTACATATGTATGTACATATGTATCGATGTACATACAGGTTTCTTGTTCGACTCACCTGCATTGACATTCTACGATCATTGCTGATGGTGAAGCGTCTGATAGTCACTTCCTTTTTGGTTAGCGGATTTATTGTTGTACCAAAAGTATCCTCCGTAACGGTAACCATTTTGTGACTGTGTTCAAATTTATATTTCTCAAGTCTACAACGCGGCTACACTAAATTTTCGTTAATATTTTTAAATTTTATATTTTCATTAATTTTTTATTGTTGAAATTATCGCCGTTTGGGGCGAAAATTTTCCTATAATTTTCAAAATTTGATTACTTTGAATTTCAGATAAACGTCTTCCGTTCAATCGACAAATTTTATTTTTTTCTAAGCAATAAAACAATATCGCTCTGAAGTCCACAATGAAGCGCAAAGTATTTTGTGACTGCGCTGGTAGAACTAAGAAAATATTTTTTCTCGTCTCATTTTTATTTCATTTGTGTAATCAACCGCTGTTCGCCTTTCAAATCACATTCACTGCCGCTAAGGTGGGAGTATCTGAGATGTGATAACGTCAATCGAGCGGGTAATCTTGCATTTGCCAGCGCACACAACACGCTCAATTGCTTATTTGTCGAGTACTTGCTTCAAATACGAGAATTATAGATACACACAAACATATGCACACATTGTTTACCATAGTAGCAAATAGTTATACAACCTTTCGCTCTTTATTACATATGTATGTATGTACTTTTAAGTATTTGCAAGCTGATATGGACATACAAAAAGACATAGGTGGTATTTTCATATAATATATGTAGTAGATACGAGCGTAATGTATTACCCAGGGGGTCGCCCCAGCTGCTTTTGAGAGAGATTTTTGGAAAAAAAAATACCCGAAAGTAATTAGTTTAAATATTTAAAACTTCAAGTAGTAAAGCTCGTTATTTATTGCAATAAACTATATGTAATATATATATATATATATAATATGTATGTAATATAATTATCTAGAACAGTTATTTTTAATTAAAATGTCAAACAGAGCCTAGAGATTTACAATTATTGCACTTCAAAGAATAGCCGTGGACGATATATTGTACTGGTCTCAGTTCCAGTCATAGCTATGAGCCAGTTGTAATCTATTGGTGCTGCTGAATTCATTGCTGACTTGTGAAATATACAATATATACTGCTGATGTGGAAAAAAATTCTACTCTGTCATAAACTTTCGTTGAAGCCGGTGGACGAACGTTTAAATACAATCCTTCCGCACATCGACATCTAAAAACAGGATGTGTTCAAAGATAAATTCTGTGTGAAAATTACGCCTCAATGATCAAGATTTGTAATGGGGAAAAGCAGCAGCTGTACACCGGCTTAAGCCTATTTTTGACCTTCATAGACCTGGAAAGCCATACGGTCGAATTGCGGAGAAAAACTAATGCTTCGATGATTTTTAATGCCTTAAAGCATGCCCATAATTTTGAAACTGTTGCTATTTGTCGCACGCAAAAAAAAGACTCCGTAATTCAATTATCAAAGAAAACAACTGCAGGGTGTTTGGTCGAATCAGGATTTATGACCAAAATCCAAAGAAAACGACGTGTAGATTTTGCTCATTCTCATTGGTGTTGGACTTTGAGCCAGTCCAAGTATGTCGTTTGGAACTATGACACGAAAAATAAACGCATTGGTCCCGATGGCCGGAGGTATGTTCGACGACCCATTAACCAAGAATTTAATCCTAGTTATGTTTTAAGGCCCTCGGCCGTATATCGTTTCAGCGGTTACGTGTATTGAAGCATAGCGGAGGATCAATCATTCAATGGGGATGTTTTTCCCTTAAAGATGTTGGTCCACTCTGTACGATAAATGGATTTTTAAATAAGGAGAAACACGTCGTTAACTAGAGAATGTCATGTTGCCTTGGGCTAAGGAGAATTCGGCTGTTATAAGGAAAATTCAACAGGTTAACGATCCAAATCACACTGCAAAGTTAATGAGAAAATTGTCTGATGAAAATTCTCTTAACGTTTTAGAATAGCCATCATCCAGATGAATGTGTCGTCGTATATCTCGCATAGCTCATTGTTCCATGGGCTGCGGTATCCGCCGTTCCCAATTCGTAGTGGATCATAATTCTTACGCAAAACCTTCCTGTTGATGATTCTTCCCCGTCTGATCAGAAGTGGTCATAGTCCATGCCACCGCACCATATGGTTACGGGACGGGAACTATGATCGACTTAAAGCTATGCCGCTTGGGGAGATCGAGCGGCTTTAGTTCTTTCACAAGCTGTATTTTGCATTATTCATTTATTTTATTTTATATTATATTATTTTTTTTTTTATTTTTTTATTTTTTTATTTTTTATTTTACGATCTCGACGTAAAATATGTTAAATCGTTCCATACGCCAGCCCGAGTTGCTGCGAACGGCGCGGAATCGACTCTTCACGGTCTTCATGTACACTCCCAGCTATGGTCGCAATGCTTTCTTCACCCCGTGCTGGACGTAATCTATTCGGTCGAAAATTATCTAATAATAAATACTGGGTGTTGCGAAAAGTACGCGGAGTTGAGCGAAACACATTCTTTACAGAACGAGAATTTTCATAATAAAGTTGAACGATTTGTAAACTATGCTCAGGCGTAAGTAGATGAAATGCCAAACAATACTGAACGAAAATAACATGACGTCTTGACACGACTCATGCGGGAGCTGTCAGAAAAAGGCTATTGAAAAAATGCCTCTGCTTGGATTACCTGAGGGTTAAAAATGGAAGTTAGCCATGAAACATGTATAATTTTATCATTGTTGGGTAACAATAAATGTTGAATATAATTAATAAAATGACTAACTTGTACCCTAATATTTCTAGTTACCACTATGTCCTTTCGAAATGGCTCGCTTTTTGGTCTAAGTTATTTTTAGGAATTAAAATTCTAATTATTTCTAATTTTTTTTTTAATTCAACCGAAAACATTTGCAAGTATTATTATTTAAATAGTTATAAAAAAACAGAAAATGGCAGCGGCCACTTTATATAAAAACACACTGAAAATACACTAGAAAACACTAACAACGATTATCAAATGTACTTAGCAAAGTTGCTAACAAAAAATTTAATTAAAGATAAAAATGCTTTCATATTTACATATATAAAAATATATATTTTTCTAATTGGTTACATCCCGAAATAATTTAAATTCCGATTCCTGAAAATGAGTTGTTTTACAAGACGGAGGCTGTCATTCACAAAAATATAAGACTAACAAAAATTCAAGTGGATTTGCAATTTGTGCAATTACAAAACTATTATTATTATTATTTATTAATTTTTTTGTTTTGATTATTGTGTCATTGTTAAATTGGCGCTTTGTAGCCATTGAAGCGGTTTTTGGCCAAACTTCTCCTTCAATTTGTGTTGAGTTTTTATTTTTTGAACAAACAAACTCCGATATTTTTTCCAAGGCACTTCCAAACGGCTGATGGAATTTAATGACCTCAAATGATGTAACTAAGCGGAGCGTTTAAATAAATATGTGTGTATGACTTCATATATGGTTTTCTTTATACGGATGGTGGTTAACTTTAGGTAAAACTACTACTGATTTCTAGAGGTATATATGTATGTACTTTTTACATATACGTGCATGTTAGCATTTACATTCAGTAGCCGCGATTTTTTAGTAGGACAAGGTTTCTGCGCTTAGCTCTCGTATTCTTTAACTCAGTCGCACAGTACAACGCCATGGCTCTCATCATTCGGATCATAAATACCAAATCTGATTATACAAACGTGTTGGTATGTTTCACCTGGAGTCAATATGACTGAAGGGAAATTTTCCTAAAACATATGAAAAATATGTTTTTTTTTATAAATATTCAAAACATATACATTTATTTACACTTACATGATTCACTGCGTCCGGGAACCTTTGTGTTTCCATGCAAAACGCCCCGTGCTTCTCATAAAAGTGTCTCCTTTACCTGTGATCATGGGTTGGTTGGATTTCTAAAGATTATAGATAGAGGTTTCTTCTTTAATATTTATAAATACACGTTAGGGTAATATGAGTTATGATAACGGGTAATGGGTTAGTAGCGATTCAGTCGGAATTATGAGTATTTATTTTGGTACAAACCTCTAAATCGGGCAAGAAGTTCGCGGTATAAAATTGCATACAAGGCTGATTGCTGGAGACCTCCATGTAGCGGCCGCTGGGCGGATGAAAAATCCTAAAAAAAAATAGATGTTTTTTAATTTAATTTATTGAATATTCACATAGTGACTGATATGATTCAGTTATTTTTTTATTTTAATTATTTAAATTATTTTATAAGCTAACAAAAAGATAAATGGCGGCCGCGGTAGCCGAGTGGTTAGCACTGCGTACTGCTATTCGGAAGGCTCGGGTTCAAATCCCGGTGCCACCAACATTCACAAAGTTATAAAACATTAATTTAATCAAAAAAAAAAAAATAAGCTAAATTTTCTAATTGCGGTCGCCCCTCGGCAAGCAATGTCAACTGCTCCGGTTTCAAAGCGCCATTTATGTATGTATATATGTTCATTTCTTCATAGTAATCCATAATCATTTTAAATTTACCTTAATTGAATGGAAAAATGAAAAAGTGAGTTGCTAAAAAACATTGAGTTACGCAGTTACAACCTCATTTGCGTTGATTGTTAATTGTTATTACAGATCTTATGGGATTTCCTTTTATCTGATCGAAATTATACACACTCATGTGAGAGATTGAAGTCTATAGTACTTTTGTCATGACATAAACTGCTGCGCCATCAAATACTTCCTGTGATTACTTACTTTGCTTGTTTCTCTACGCAACCAGGCGTGCACTGGAACACGTAATTGTGATCGTAGCCATTGACAATTTTGGATATTTTCTCCAAGCCGACACCAACGTTTGTCAATTTTCGTAGATCCAAAGGATGATTTTCTAAATTAATAAATTCACCATTCGGTACTATATCCTCGTCGGTATCAGTAACGCAATCTGCCTGGATTTGGACAATATGCTCTGTCATACCCTTTTTACCGGCAGTCTAAAAGGAAAATCATATATATGTATGTATGTCAAACAACTAAGAACAACTGAGCTTACATGTCCGGCCAAATTGAAGTATGCATGATTGGTCATATTAACCGGTGTTGGCTTGGTGGTGTTCGCCTCCAAACAATAGCGCATGCAATTATTATCAGTGATGGTGTAGGTAGCTGTGGCCACTACTTCACCGGGGAAGCCCTCATGTCCATCCGGCGAAATAAATTTGAAAACAACACCATCAGGTAGTAATTGGTCCACCTCCCAAATGACTTTACTGAAGCCGTGCTTACCCCCATGTAGTGTATGTTTCCCTAACAGATTTTTAGTAATTTCATACTTTTCGCCATCAAGCGTAAAACTGCCATTGCCTATACGATTACAAACGCGTCCCACCATACAGCCAAAATACGGATTACTCTCGCTCAAATAACCTGCAGAGTAAACGGGGAAAAGTAGTTGATTCACCATCATTCATCTCGAGCTCACCTTCGATATTATCAAAACCCAGTGTAACGTCATCCACCGTTCCGTGAGAGTCGGGCACTTTTAGGGATGTTATTGTGGCACCGTATGTTATCACCTAAGAGCGGTTACAGTCAATACCCGTATATGTATGTATCCAACTATGTAGACTTTGTTTATTCGACTCACCTGCATTGACATTCCGAGATCATTGCTGATGGTGAAGCGTCTAATGGTCACTTCTTCTTTGGTCAGCGGATTAATTGCGGTGCCAAAAGTATCCTCCGTAACGCAAACCATTTTGTGACTGTGTTCAAATTTATATTTCTCAAGTACACAACGCGGTTACACTAAATTTTCGTTAATATTCTTTATGTTTTCAATTTTCAAGTATAAATATTTTGAGTAAAATTATTGTTGTTAACACTAAAAAATTTCCTATAATTTTTACTATATTTGAGTGCCGCTTAGGTATGAGTACGATATGCGATAACGTCAATCGAGCGCGTAATATTTCAACTGCCGGCGCACAAAACACTTCTCAGTTGCTACTTGTTGAGTTGCTGCTTTAAATACAAAGCCTGTAAAAAAATATGTAGAGACATACATATGCATGTGTGTGTTTATGTGCACAAAATACATTATAGTGTGAGATAATTAAACAATATCGCGCTCTTTACCCATTGAAGTGTTTACAGCCCAGCAGCAAATTTGGTAGTCATGTGCTAATTAGTTGCTTTAGTTATTTTGTGAAAATTATTGCGACTTTAACAATGAAGTGCTCAAAAAATATAGTTTATATAGCGTAGACATGAAGAGAGCAGAAGCATGTTCACAAGAGATGAAATGTGTAAATTAAAATGTGGAGAGTAACCCTACATAACATTTTTTGTGGGTAGATGGCTGCACTGAATTTGATGAAATTTTCCAAGAAGTGGAACAGGGACCGAAGTGGTGGAATTGGTTTTCAATTTGGTGGGTAGATTTTTGTACAGATTAACCGCGAAGTGTACCACAAACCGACATATTTAAAAATATCGTAACCTGGACGCATGGATTCGGACTCAATAATAGTTTAGAATAAAAATTTTTCCAGGAAGTGCACTGGGTACCCATCCATTCGAAGAAAACGTTTAGTATAAATCGATTTAGTTAAAATCTTTTTATTTTACAGAAAGTTGAGCTGATAGCGATGGCTTACTATTTTTTTTATGCTTCGTTTTTCTTGAAATTTGTTATTATTGACAATTTTTTTTTCAAATTGACACATAAAAGACCTTGTTTCCCGGGAATGGGTCACAGAATAGCGATCAAGTTCAATTTGCTCGAAAATTCGCTCGTAGATAGCCTTTTACTTTTCGAAATTGAGACCTCCGAGAGATCACACAACAATCTATCTATCTATCTTTATTATAAATAGCGGTCTACTGCTTATTTCTATTTTCATGGAAGGCTTTGCATAACCAAAAAGGGATTGATTAGTTACCATATGTCATATAAGACTGGTGTTGTAGGTAGATCAAAAATATAATGAGATATCAAATGTTTTGAAATATTTAAGGCATAATAAGAACTCCTTATCATTCTTTGCATACCAGCTCCTACGCAAAATCAAATATAACATGTAAATTGAACAAAATATATACAAATATAAAATATATAAACATTTAAACCAAAACTACGTGTAGTTGAGGTTTGCAGTGTATATACATACATACGATACGAAAAAACCATCTATATAATTATTGAGTATTATTTTATTTAGTTCTTGAAAATTTTAAAAAATGAATGTGTATATTTTGTATATAAATATGTAACGTACTTGAATTGCACAGTCGACAAAAAAGCTACAAAACAACATGCAATTCTGTATGAGCTGAAGTGGTAGGAGAGAGACCTATGGAAATTGCAATTACATAATATGATTCAGCCAGAAATTGTGGTGTGAAATGATTTATTAAAAAATCAGATGTTATAAATTAATTTTCAAATACGAACAGCTTTGAAAATTACACTACTGTTGGTGTACTTCAATGCCTTAGCTGTAACGAACTCGTTAATTGAAAGCTCATTAGCATTTGCAACTGGGAAATACATAAACACATATGTGAAAGTATATGTACTTGCATACTTGCTGAGTACTAATACGCGCTAAGCTTTCAATACTTAAGGCTCGTTCGCTTAGCACGCGGCACGACACTACCGAAGAACAACGACGGCTTCTGGTTTGTAAAATTTGTCGCCTTACACCCAATGACTTAGGCCCGATTTCACAATGTCCGATTGACTTAACCTTTAACCGAAGGATAACTAACTGTCAGGTGGACTGATATGACATTTTCGTTTTTCCCATGTTCTGGTTACTTAACTTCTGGTAAGTTTGAACATGGTGAATATTTTACGGTAAAAAAAATTACGAAGTGAATACATCAAAACTGCATGACAGCTGGTATTTGCTTACATTTTTCCACACGATATGGTTGAGTAATTCTTAGGTTTTTCCTTTTTTTTATTTTATTTTGTGGTTATGGGAAAAAATTGTAATTTAATGAACTTAATTTCATATATTTTTGTTTGGGAAAAGGACTTCGGTTTTAAATTACATGTATAAAATGTATGTAATTTATGTAAATGATTTACTTGCACCTTAAATATGTTTTTTTTGCATCAACGGATGTTTCTGCTAGTCCATACACTTTGAACTTCTACCTCATCCAAGTTAGAGTCATTCTAGATAGCAGAATTGTGCAAAACTCTACAAAAAAGTTTCATTTATAAATAGTGAAAACAGAATCGGGTCATTTACTTTCTGGGCACTCCTGAAGAAGCTTTACTGGCATTTCGAAAAACCACTCTTTGGGTTCGATCATACCAAAGGTATGAAGAGACTTATTGTTAAAATTTTTGTTGGAAACCCAATAAGCTTTGCTGATATTGGTTTGTATTATGACATCGACACTTTGTCATCTCTGTACGTATTAATGGTATATGAAGTGAGCTCAAGTAGTGTTGGATTCTTTAACGAGCCCATAGTGGCAATTAATGTATCATAAAAACGGTTGAATGAGACACATAGTTTGTGACAACCGAGTAAAATAATTTGGGATTTGAAGAGTGTTCAGCTGTACCTTGAACTTTGACTACTCGAGGTCTGCTTTCATTTTTCATGAAGATGTATAGAATTCCTTCCATTCAAAAGGAAAGGAAAAGAAGGATCTGGACTATTTTATGTTGAATTTTTGGGGTCACTGCTATTAAAGGAAGTTATTCTGCGGCCGTGGTGGCCGAGTGGTTAGCATTGCGTACTGCCATTCGGAAAGCTCGTGTTCAAATCCGGGTGCGACCAACATCCAAAAATTATAGGAAATCAATTGAAATAAAAAATCAAGTTAAATTTTATGATTGCGGTCGCCCCCCGGCAGGGAATTTCAGCAGCTCCGAGTGTATTTCTGACATGAAATAAAACTCTTTATAAAAAAATCATAAGCCCTTCGGAGGCGGCTTAGTATAAACTGTAGGTCCTTCCATTTGTTGGAAAAACATCAAGACGCAAAACCACAAATTGGAGGAGGAGCTCGGCGCTTCAGCTGTTACAAAGCGCCAATTATATATTACATATATTTTGCAAGAAAAAAATAAAAATAAAAAAATGAGCGCCTTACGAAAAGGAGTGAATCCGTCCAAAGTATGTAGTTTTGTTTCGTTTTTGATAAACTTTCGCTCACAGTGAGGTTCTTTACCTCCTTATTCAACCAATCAAATGACTTTGGTTTGGATACACTGATATCGAGTTTTTAAATTTGATGTCTTGATTTTCGGATTTTGTGTTTCAAATTATGATATTGAGATTTTTATATAGCAATTTCCCATTTTATGCAATTAAGTATTAATACCTCTGGCAATGCCTTTTCGGTATTGCAAATTTTCTCTTGTAAGTATATCATAGCAGATATTCAATATTTCAACCCCAAAGAACAATAAACGGAAAAAAATTCATAATGAGTTATGTACGTGTATAAAATCCAAAAAAATTATCACCGTTATATTGTATTATTACTTTCAAAGCGGGAGACCCGGAGCAGGTGTTATTAACTTTTAATCAAGCACCAAAGTTAATTCTAAAAGCAAAATGAAAAAAACTTTTGTTCTGCTGTTAGAATCAAACAAAAGCAATAGAAAGCGCAATTGAAGTAAGCAGTTGGCTGGCATTTCGAAAAATAATGCAAACCAATGCAACCTCAACAACAAAATTAATAGCAATACTTAACAAAAGAGATTCAGAAATGTGTTGGCCTCTAATACACGTTCATAATAACACAAAAGCAATTCTTGTCCATGCCATACTTTTCTCGCTTCCAGCGATATTATTCTTGCATTTGTATAACTACTATTTTCATTCATACTTGAAAAGGCAAACTTTTGTTGCTCTAATAATCCAATTCGAATTTTTTGAATTTTGCATGCGTTGGCACCCGGCGGAGTTGGATGCAAAAAAGAAATCTGAATTTGGTTTCTCTTTTTGTATTTCTATGGTAATTTTGGCAGAATTCATTGCCAGAAGCGCTAATTTTTCGGTGCATGGCGGCTTGGTGGTAGGGTTCGGTTAAAAGTGAATGCAAAAGTTAATGTCGTTGACCGTCCAATTGAAGAAGTTCTTGCCCAAAATATCCTGATGAATTCGTAGACCTTTTAAGGGGTTACATTTAGTTAGAATTTTTAAAAACCGATTTTTTTTTTAATTTCATTCTCATAATGTACATGTATATATAATTGGCGCCATGTAGCCGTTGTAGCGATTTTTCGGCCGAGGCTTCCCCTCCAATTTGTAGTTTTACGTCTTGATGTTTTTCCAACAGGTATTCAAGTAAATATTCTGATAATTTTAAGTCGATCGAACTGTTATTTTGGAAGTTACACGCATATCTGTAACGACGCTCATTTTCCCCATCAGTGGCCATTACGTGTTTAGACTGTTTGAAAGCGGTAAGTGACCAAAAAAAAAAAATTATATGTACGAGCACTAACGCCACTGCAGTCACAGATTTAGCGATTGCAACGTGCAAAGTGTGGCCTGTTTTGATCAAACCAGGGCCAAGGTGGACGAAGAACCCAAAATTTCAATAAGAGCTTCACGCAGAGGTTTCAAGTACCAATTTTTTTTAAAGCAATACCTTATTCATGCACATCTAATATACATACACGGTGTATCCCAAAAATAACCGAACTTTCTGGATATAAAATAAAATACACATTGTAGTATCTTTGAAAGTTATTATTTATTCAAAATAGGTTCCATTTGACTCAACACAACGTTTGGAACGATCAACCAGCGCATGCGAAGATTTTTTATGTCATTTATAGAAATGTTCTTCAGTACCTCGGTTACGGCTGCTTGAATGACTGGCATATCATCATAAAATGCTCCCTTCATCTTGGTTTTCAGTTTTGGAAATAATAAATAGTCACATGGTGATAGATCAGGCGAATACGGAGGATGATCGATGAGAGAAATCTCATTTTTCATTAAAAATTTCAGCGATTTAATTCATGTGGAACAAATAGCG